TCAGGCCGAACAGCGCAAGAGGAAGCCATAGACGCTGGAACAAGAGAGAGAAAAATGGCCCGAGAAGGAAGAGATCTGTGACAAACGATGGCCGATCACAAAACAAATAATAGATCGGGGTAGAGGAGGTCTGGGCGAGTTCGGCGCCGGTGATCGCCGCTGGAAAAGTTGCCGGACGCGCCGCCACGCGCGGCGGCCGACAGAGAGGAGAGAGAAACTGCGCCCAGCACGGAATCGACGCGTGGGGGCGCGTGCGGCCTCCGTTTGCCGCACGACCGGTGGCGTTGGGTTCGCTGGAGGAAGGCGAGTTGGGTGGGGGGGTCTTCGGCCGGAAAGCTGGCGGCGGCGGCGGCGGCAGCGAAGAAGAAACCCTAAAAAATAGGAAAAAAAATTGCCGGAAAGAGACACGACGGGGTGGGTAGCCGAAAAACGGAATGAGATACGTTTTCCGGGCACCGATGAACAGTGGATCCACCGGAAAGTCAAGGATAGGCTCTAGATACCATGTTGAGAATAATAGTGAATGAAGAGAACATATTCCTTGTGTATTGCAAAGCAAAAGATGTCTTTATATACAAAGTAGTGGGCCTAAGCCCATAAGATAAAACTATATCTCCCATAAGATAAAACTATATCTAACAACATTAAATTTTTTACATGCATTCATGTTCATCCCCAATCATCAAAGTCAACACTTATTTCCAATACACCAATTCACTTTACATTCATTTAGACAACTAAATCAATTATAATTATAACATATAGACTTGTGCAAATGCATGCTCCTAATTCTACATGCTTGTAATACCGATGTCCTTATCATTATCAACTCAATATAGTCTAGGAGTCATGGAACAAGACCACCCAATTTATGATGTTGGGACTACCTCAACTAGCGAATGTCCATTAGGGTCATGTTGAAACGTTATAGCTGACCATGGATACATCTCGTTCTTGTTAAAGACTACCAACCATAACAGCCCAAGGTCTAAGTAGAAGACCTTTGAAACCTACTTGCATATACTCACATCATCCTACAATAAAACAAGTATGCATGAACTCTACTAATACACCACATTGACACTCATATACAACAACCATGAATGCAACTTTGTCGAGCCGCAACTTTGGATTTATCCACCATATCACTTCATAGTGACTCATCATGACATGCATCATCATATTTTATCGTACATCAATACCATACATACCTCACATAAGAATATTTTGTTTCCTCACAACTCCTCCATTATTTAATTCATTTTTACAATTCAATTAGTTATGAAATATAGGTGTGGCACCTAGCAAGGTCTGACTAATGCCCACATGGAGAGATTAGGGTCTTTATGCCAGATTCACACTTGACATGGTGGTACCATGCATTGGACTTGAAGAGGTACGGGATCCCTATGTTTGATTTTGCGCTCGACATGAATTCTCCCACACCCAACACAGAGGAATCAAGGACCCTTTTGGAACTAATTCGCTAAGTGTGATTTAGGTCATGACTTGCATCATCCTCTCTAAAAACAATGTCGAACAACATTGAGCAAGAAACCATTGCCTAGCATAGAGAAGTCAAGGATCTCTCTGGCATCCCTGGGTTTGGCATGGAGGCCAACACATGAATCTAGTTTCGTTGTGCCCAATACTACCATAGATTTTGCACTTCGCAAAATCACGAACTACATGAAACAAGGTCCTTTAGACCCATTCACATCCATTAATTCATCTTTTTTTTCAATTATTTAGTAAAAGTATTGTATAACACATATAGAATGCACATTCATGACCAATTCGTGGAATTCCTCCAATTCCACAAGGACCCCCAAATTATAAATACAACCATAATCCCAAAAACACAAGATAATTATTTACATTAATAATCAATCACAAAAATACAACCATAAACATTGCATATTAGGAGTTTCACACACATATCATACATAAATGCCTATATAAATTCCTTCAAAACCTAAGAGGCTTAAGGATCACCTTAGTACCTTTATCCCTCATATGTATCCATAGATGTGACTATCTTATTCTCTCTTATCTCGAGTGACGATTCTGTAATACAACCTGCTTCCCATAGCTTAAGCTACTGCTTCGCACTCTCTCTGGTGACCTCTTATAGGTTCTCCTATGCACGTGCTCTTATGGGCTGAGAATAATGTGTAATGAAAATCTAACCCCTATTTTTTTAAAGCCTTTAGCTTAGGATAGAGTTTAACCCAAACACTTCATCCTTTTCTCATCCTTTTCTTATTTTATTTAATTAGTAAAAATATTATTCATATAACAAACTTAATTAAATGATTAATTAAGTCAATAATATAATTTTTTTTATTAAAAACAATTTATTTTATTTAAAAAAATTTGAGATGTTATACCTACAAGTACAAGAGGTCCTCAAATTAAAGCAACAATTATGTGGTGACATCAATATTAATATTAGTTATCAATTGCCCTAGCAAAAGACACATGCATTGTAATCTTTTGTGGGATTGAAGAATCCCCTAGACATGACCAAATTAGTGATAAATCTACAACTAATGTAGATTTTTAGAGCTATTTTACATGATATTTGCATTAGCCTTAAGGAAAATAATGATAAATTGATCAAATAATAAGGAATTTAAATGTAATTGATAGTTTATTTTTTTATTTAAAATTTGCACAATTTTACTTGTTTATTTGAATATTATTAGAGATGAGGAAAAATGAATGAAAGAAGAAAAAATAAAAGTGATTTTTTCACAATTTAGGAAGACACAATGAGCAATGTTTGACATTAATTAAAGTTACACTCAATGCTAAGGAGAAACTAGACTTTCAAAGAAGTGGCGTTCACCACTTAACATTATACTTAGCACTAAAGAAATTAGCACTTGACACTGAAGAAAATGGAACTTGGTGCCATGCTGTTGATGCTGTCTAAAAAAGTGGAGGCACATTGTGGTGCTCGACGTTGTGCAACACTACACCTAATGCCAAGCAATGAGTAAATCAGTGCTTAAGACTAGAGTGCTAATGGTCTACAGTATTATGGCACCTGACTCCATTTAGGTTTGTGTTTGACACCATTATGTTGAAACTTCATTATTTTAGTTTTCAGAAAGTCCAAACTTAATATTAAAAGAAAGGAATTACATGTTTGGGAGATTCTTCGACTTCTCAAAGGATTGAAAGTGAGGAAGAACTTGAAGATGCATCTCTAGCCTTTGGTTCATAGGAATTCAAGTTGGATTTCTTGAAGTTTCATGGCTTCTCTATCTTATTCATTTTGTCTTGTGCTTAGGAATCCCACGAGTTTCTAAACCTCATCTTAGTTAGGTTATGATGAACCTTGGTTGAAACTTATTGTAATCCTTTTGTATTTGAGGATTTTTAATGCACTTTAGTTATTAAATTTATGCTTAATTTTTTTTCTTGTGATTAACTCATTATAAATTGTTTTGTAATTTAGAGCTTACAATTAGAAGATTGAGGTTTATATTATTCTAATTTAATAACCATACAACTCTTGGTCAAGACATATTCCTTTTCTTAATGTTTGTGACTAGGGGTGATCATCGATCAAATATGGCTTGAATATGCTCAAATCATTGTAAATTGACACATGAAAAATTTATTCTGTTTATGTCATATTAATCGCTTGAGTTTATTTAGTTTGAATAAGATGAGTTTGTCAAATTCTTGATATAGGTTATAACATCCTTTAACCATAAAGTGTCCAAGAAGAAACTAGAGAAGTATGACATCTCCTTGAAAAGTTTCCTCATCTAGTTATAGAGTCCACCAACACCTTTGTGCTACTAGAATGGCCAAATCCCATCACTAGCCTCATTCTAAAGCCACAAGATTTTGTCTAATTGTGTGTATTGTCCTTCTTACGATAGACAATAGAAAAATGCTTAAACATTCATGCCTTTAAAGAGTGTTAACATAAATATTTATGGTATAATCAAAGAATTGGACTTGTGAAAGAAAATAATATGTAAATTTTGTAATTATGGAAATTTTATATATCTATTAATTATGATGCAAGCAAGCCTCGCCCAAATGCTAGTACAAATAACATAATGCAACAACATTTCAAGCATATCAATTGCATGTAATTAGATCCTAAAGGCATAGGAGGTAACAAATCAATACACAAATTAAGCTCTTATTGGAGAAGAGAGGTCAACCATGCATTGTAACAGATAAACACGCATTGCTAAAGCCATCTCACGTATTATTCATATAACTTGTTCAACTAATTCAATGTTACTCGTAAGATTTTAGAGTGACCTCTATAACTTTATTGTGAGTGACTTTAAACATAGCAATAAGTAGTTCGATCGTTTCATTGCAAATCAGTGAATGATCGGGATATAGACTTAATGAAATTGGTCGAGTTAAATAATTAAATTAATTAATTAAAATATTGATATATTTTAAAATTATGAAATAAATAATAAAAAAATACATAATTTTCAAGTTATAATAATTAATCCATGTATCAAACAATAATAAAAATTACAGATTTCATAATACATGTTTCATCCCAAAACATAAACAACAATAATAAGAAAAATGTAATAATATATGAAATAACATCCACAATTATTTAAATTACATAATAAAAATAAATAAACTAAAAATCAATAAGTTATGCTGTATTCTAAATATGGCATGTACGCATAACATAGATGTGTCTCAGGTTTTAATTCTCCTTCTTAGATCATGTGATTAGACCAATTAACAAGTTTAATTCATGTTAATCGACATTTCTTAACTTTGAAACCATACAATTACTAATAAACAAGTTTAAATTATACGTAATTACAAAAAATATTTATTAATATAATTATATATTAAAAGTTAATAAATAAAAAAATAAAATAGGGTGAAATTGATGATATTATATTTTAGTAAAAAAAATATCTAGCCTCCTAACCGAGCAAAATAGAATTGGATTACCACGGGTGGGGTTGGATTTTACTATTTTAGGTAAGATCAAATACTCACTCGCACACTCCATTTCAGTTCGGGGACTAGAACCTACATTGATTGATTTAGGGTTTGTGGGAAGGAGAAGAAGAAGAAGATGAGCGAGGGAGGAAAACGACAGGGTGGTCGAGCGCTGCCTCCGCCTCCTCGAGGGCCTCCTCCTCCGCCTCCGTCTCGGCCGCGGCTGGAACCCGTGGATCGCGAGAAGACCTGCCCCTTGCTCCTCCGTGTCTTCACCAAAATCGGCTCTCACCACTCCATGGAAGACTTCGCCGTCAGAGGCAAGGAGCCCAAGGACGAGGTCCAGATTTACACATGGAAGGACGCCACTCTCCGCGAACTCACCGATCTCGTAACGACCGAACCCTATTACGTTCCTCACTCACTCTCTGCACTCTCTCACTCTCTGTTTTTCCGCAGGTCAAAGAAGTCGCTCCCGCCGCCAGACGAAGGAACGCCAAGCTCTCCTTCGCCTTTGTCTTTCCCGACAAAAACGGCCGCTTCAAAGTCCAGGAGGTTATCTAATTCTTCTCTGTTGCTTTTTTTGTTCTTCAAGAAATTACAAATTACAAATTAACTTGTGCATAAGTTAGGTTTCGCTTATGGAAAAGTTTGTTTCGTTTTTTCGGTCTGGAAGTGTTTCTGGAGATGTTTATACAAAAAGGCCCCAAGGCATTGAATTTATGATATGTATTAGTGCTGGCCCTTTCTGATTTGAGCAGCTTGTTGTAAATGTAGACATGATTAATAGGTTGTTTCGAAATTCGTATGTTGAGTTGTTTATTAGAGCATTTCATGGATTTTAAGTTACCTGTAATATATGTGCAGAGTCAGTTGTCTTTGAACTGATTCGTACATATTAGAAAGGAACGAACAGTTATAACATATGTTTGTAGATATACTTGTTTTGTTTTGTGCTAGTTTGTGTTTTCCAAGGGACCTTAGGAGTGTCATTGTGGTTCCGGGCTTCAGGCGACCGTGCCTTCTGCAATTTTCTATGATAACCGTGAAAATTTTCTATGATGCTGAAGTGGTAAAATAGATGGGATGTTAAAAGAATGGCTGTGCAAAGTAGTTAAGTTTTTACTGTTTTTCTTTGTAAAATCTTGCTGCCTTTCATTAGCAAGACATTCTCTTGTTGACACCTCTCACACTGGAGATTTAAACCCCAACATATTTTCTCAGAGACTATTTTAGTTCTTTGCTTCTCTTAGTACATGTTGCAACAATGGAATTGGAGTTGTAGTGTAGCATTTCAATTTCAATTTTTGTTAGAATTGGAATTGGTTCGGAATTATAGATTTTTTGTTTGGCTTGTGCCAATAATTAGAATTCTAAATTCAATTACAATTCTAAAATCTAAAATATGAAAACAAAATTAATTATAAATCTCATTAATGATATATTTAATATACTGATAATTATATGGGGTTAGGCTGGGTTTGGGGAAAAAATAATCTAAATTAATTGATGGGGTTAGGTCAGTTTGGATTGCTTTGGAGAGAAAGTTTATGCTTAACCTATAACTAAAAAACAAATTGAGCCAATCAAATCTTGGTTGTTTTACACTTTTACCTGACCTGATCCTATCTGAAGTCTCAGATTAGGCCATGTTAATCATTTCACAGGTCTATGAGAAACCATGCCCTCCTCTATCTCTAATTCTCAGATGTGGAAATTACAATTGTTAGTGTGTTATTGACTAGCAATTGGAAATGACTCAAGCTGCATTGTAATTCTCTTTATTTGTGATGCAATTATGATTCTAATTTTAAAATAACTTCTAAACATAAAAGTTATAATTAATAGGGCTAATTCCATGCTCAATCCCAGATGCTAAACAAGGACTTACAGTTCTAACTGTCTGTTTTGTTATTGGTCATAGCTTTCATGTTGAACCAATCTCATTTTGTATCCCTACTTGATTGGTTCATGCAGGTGGGTAAGACATTATCTTATGGAAATGGAAGATTAGATGATAGCAAGGCTTTAGCTGAACTTGGTTTTGAGGTAAGGATGTTTTTCTTGTTGCATTTAGACTTGATCATTTCACAAATTCTCTGTTGCTGACTTAATTCGTGAATGTGCAGATCGGTGACTACTTGGATGTGGCTATTCTGTAGGTTCTTGTGGATAGCATCACAACTGTATTATGTGTTTTGGGCTGCTTATGTTTGAAGGCCTTGAAACACTGGGCTTATTTCGGAGTAAAAAAGACTGTACTTATGGAAGTGTTTAGCTGTTAGTGTTACATGAACTAAAAATGTCCCAGTTTCTTGGGTTGGAAAAATGATAGATTGACGATTTGATTAGGCCAAGACCTATTATGCGAATACTGGTTAATGTCCTTATCACGGCCCTTTACTATTGTTCACCATAAGATTAAAGGAAACTAGGAAAGGATAATGTTACGGACATTCTTTTAGATAGATAGAATACGAAATTAATGAGCGAGAGTCATTAGATTTCATGATTCAGTGGCAATAAATATAATAAGCTGGAAGTGGTGTCGCATTTTTAGTATTTGTAGCATCGTTGCCAAACGAGATGAAGAGCAGGGTTTTTTCCCCTACCCCTATTTGACTAATAAGAGTAGTTGAACATTTTCCCTACTCTTGCAAATATGAATCTAGTGCTGTTGAGTATAATTTTCTTTTGTATGTGGTGACTATGAAAAGGAATTAGAATTTAAGGAATGAATGATTAGGCTACATAGGCAATTAATGGAAGATTTAATAAAAATATGTTAAAATAAGACGCGGTCTTTTATGGATGGAGATATCTTTAACGAGAAAAAAAAGGATAAAGAATGGAGATATGGATAAACTGTTATAAAGAATTTAGGTTGTGTAAGATGACAAAGTGATAATCCTATGAGACAAACACTTAGTGATAGTACTTTTAGACAAACACTATGCGTAAAGGAGGATATTAGTTTTTATTATTATTTATTTTTGTGATGAAACAGGAAAATACTAGTGTTAGAACGGTGCGTGGAGCAAAATTTCATTAATAAGTAATATAAATTTTACTTTTTAGGAATATATTATTTGTGATATTAATGATCAAACATAGAGTATAATAATTTTAGTGAATTGAGAATTGAAAAATAAGAAAAATTGTGATAACTAATAAGCTATTTCTCTTGGTTACCGCTGGTCATAAAAGTGAAGTTGCCTGATTTCACTTTACATTGGCGACACACATGAAGTCACCTAAGACTGGGTATGTTTTAATGCGGTGGAAGTGGAACTTGTTGGTGTAGCTGATTATGACAATTTAGCAATAACCCATCTTTTCAAGTTAACTTCATGACTAGGGAGCTAACCTTTAAATGGGATTCATGTGTTGTGTCCAGATATATTTGAATTATTCAATATATGAGCATGTTTTTTTATGACAGGGATATATGAGCATGTAATTTTATGACAGGGATATATGAGCATGTGGAAAATACTAAATAATCGATGGTTGTTTTTACCCATACAGTTTATAGATTTAGAGTACGTTTTGGTACAACTTAAAAATATTTTTGAGATTTTATTTATTGAAAATAATAAAGTATTTTTTTTTGAAAAAATGTTTCTAAACGTGTATTTTAAAAGACTCTTATTCCTTTATCTAATTAAGATTTTTTTCTTAAATAAATATTATGTTCTTGTTAAATAGTTTTTTCCCCCCAATTTGATCCCTAATTTTTTTTTCATTTCTGTCCTTAACCGTTAAATCTAACATATATAAGCCAGAAAATTATAGAGAGTAGAATAGAAAAATTAGAAAATTATTATGACAAAATTTTGAGAGGAACAAAATAAAAATAAATAAAATTAAGAGAATTAAAATAAAAATAATATCATTTTACAAGACTAAACATTCATTTGTATCAAATTTACAAATTTTAAGCCTTTAAATACACTAAATGTATTAATATGAAAAAAGAAGTAAATCTATAAAAAAGATATATTAATAATTAGCCAAACAAGAAACGCGCAACTTAATAAAATTTATAAAATAACACAACCATCCAAAATTTATCTTGTCTTATTTTATATTTTGTTTTCAATGTTTATATTATTATATAACTTTTATGAAGATTTATATTTTAAAAAAATTACTAAAATTAAAAGTTTTACTATACATAAGGTCAAATTAAAGTTTTAAAAATACATTTATATTTAGAAAATTCTTAAAAAACCTATTATCGAATAAATATTTTTAAAAATAATTATTCTAAGTCAAACAAAGATCTTAAAAATAATTTGTCACACTTTTTTTTTTGTTTTTAATGAGTTTCAAATCTAAAATCTCAACTTCATGGTGTTACTTCAACATTCTACCATATATTATTATTTTTTATGGTAGTTTAAAATCTTCATAGAAAAACAATAAAGAAAAAACAAAATTAAAAAAACGAAGAAATAACACATAAAAAATATTGGGATGACAACATTTTGAACTCAACAAGACTCGGTTGTAAACGTCAACAACACTTCCACCTTGTGAAAAGAAACCCGGAAGAAGTGATATTTGTTAATCTAATTTACCCGGGAAGGACAACGACGTCGTTTCCAGCATCGGCGCCGTTATCCGATCGAGAACCCCCAACAACCGAGATTAAAAAATGGCCCCGCATGATTGATAGCCAAGAAAATAACAACGAAAGCGATAGAAAACAGTAACCACAAGAAAAACAAAAGAAAGAAAAAGAACACAACAAGAGAGAGAAAGTTACCGTCATCCTCTCTCTCTCTAACTTTCTCTTCCTTAATCTATCTCGCTATCACACACGGAATCAACGCATTGATTTTCTCTCTCTCACACTCTCACACACACATTGGTGTTTGTGTCGGTTGCGAACTTCGACTCACGCGCACGCTAGCCTAGTTGCTTCCGCTGCTCATGGATTTCGACTAGCATTGCGCCGTAAACCCTCGCTAGCTCACTTTCCAACCAGATCGAAGTTCGATCTCACTCTCGCTTTCTCTTTCTCTTTCTCTCTCTCTATATGTTGCTTTCTCACTCTGCCTTTTCTTTTGAAGGTTTCTTTTCGTTCTCCTATCCGCAATGGCGCCGAAGCGAGCCAAGGGATCGTGTTTTCCCGTCCTCGCTTTCGTTCTCCTCTGCGTTCTCGCGCCGCCGCTTTTCTTCCTCGCTCGGGGGCTCTACACTGCGGGTCACTTCCTCTCACTTTTTCTTTTTGCTTTGTTGATTTGTATTTTGTGCATTTGAAGATCTTAGTGGTGAAGTGTTGTTGGTTAATTTAGTGTTTGTGAACGGTTTTGGCTTGTTAGAGTTTTTTTTTTTTTATTTTTTTTATTTTTTTTATTTTTTATAATGTTTTGGGTTTCGTTGGGGTTTTAGTTGGGAAGTGAAGTGTTTACTGGAGTTCTAGGGTGCGGTGCTAAGTTGGAAGGGGCAAAGTCAGAGGGAGAGGGGTTTCTTAGTGTGAGTGAGTGTTTGGATTGGACAATCGTCTGGAACGCAGAAAACTATATTAATTTTGTTAAAAAAAGTGGAAGTTATTACCAAGGTTGTCAATGGTGGATGGCAGAATATGGTGGAAGGCCAAAATTCTGCCATATAAACACGCCATTGCCTCCTTAGGGCCTCCTTTCACAAATTATATATGCAAAGGGGTCGAAAAATGACACATTATAGCATTATGGCAGCACTATAACGGTTATTTAATGAAGTTGGCTCCTACTGATAGATTCTGTCTAGGTGCTGAAAACCATGACAAGCATTCAATTGAATGCATAACTAACCAGAAACGTGCGAATGGGATTGGTTGAACACCCGTTTGAATGGATTTCTGTAAGTATGAGCGAGTGGTTGGACACGCGTCTATAATGCAGAAAACCACGTTAATTTTGTTAAATACATGGAAGCCACAACGGATGGCTTTTGTCTAGATGCAGAAAATAACGGCATACATGGAATTAAATGTGTAACCAAACATGCTGTGATTGGGGGGAATGGTAGGACATGCGTTTGAATGGATTTTGGAAAGTGTGGACACATGGTTGGACACACATCTGTAATGCAGAAAACCACATTAAGTTTGTTAAAAACATGTAAGCTACAATGGATAGCTTTTGTCAAGATTCAGAAAATCACGCTGTGATTGGGAATGTTTTTAATTCGTTGTTCTGGTGGTATATTAGATGACAGAAAGGTATCCGTTTTGTTGCTAGAATTTTGCTTCATATGGAAGTAGAAAGGAAGCCTAGTTTTCTAGGAGTAATGAACTTAACTAGCGTGATTTATTCACTGATTAATCCTGTGAATATTTCTCATAAATATTTGATTTATAACATCACAGATATTTGTATCAATATGGTTTTGCCTGGTGCTTATGCTTACAATCCTTGTTGCATAACTTCGGATGCATTAAGCTCACTCAATATCTTCTTTTCAATCTTTGGTTGCTCTGTTAGAGGGACACTTGATAATATTGTCTGTGCTATATATCCTGTTGTATTGTGACAACAATTCATTGTGGATAAAACTTGTTTCTTTACCATTTGGATAGATGATACAATGTCACAGTCAACTCATTATTGTGCCTCATGCTCAATAGATTTACAACTCATGATATGGTGCACTGAAACTGATGTAAGGGAAAAGGATTTTTCTTGTGAGTCCTCATGTTTATTTTATAGAAAGTGATGCTCTATATTTGGCATTGAAGGACAGAAGGATATGCAGGCTAGATCCAATAAAATTATATATTTGACTTTTTAGTTAAAATATCAATAGTTGTTGTGCAAATGGTCACTTTAAGTAGAAGATTGCTCATGCCATTGGTGTTGTGAATGGTGTATGGCAGTCAGTGGAAGAAAGCCTAAAACCCAAAGATTTATAGTGGATCAGTGGATGGCATGGTGCCTCATTGTTTGAGTAACGTGGCCATGTTAGAAAGTGTAAATTTAGTTCACACACTTGTAGCAAGCAAATGTTGTAAAGTCATTGAATCGAGTTATCCAGATATCCTATAGTTAATTTGGAGGCTATTGTGAGATGAATCTGTCATGAAGGTATTTCAAGATCATTAGTAGTGACTGTGGTTGTCATAACCGAGTTTTAACTTGTAAAAACTACTGTGTTTATGAGTTCTAAGGCACTAACCTGTTTAACTCGGTTGCAAACTCATTTTTGAGTGGAATCGTGCAAACTCAAGTAAGGTCGGACATTATTGCGAGTTTAGACGGGATTCAATGTGTCTACATTGGTGACTAAAAGAACCCCCAAAATGACACAAAAGTAGGTGTTTCATTATAGTTTTATTTTTCAGTCAGAAAAGACGATTACAAGTGTGATTTTCTGGGATATGAAGCTTTGAAGCTCTTGTGAGTGCGGTCTGCTCGTTGGCGTTTGCCGTTCATTGGGGTTCTCGTGGGGGCTCTCTATTCGCTGGGGTTTTCTGTTCGTCTGGGTTCTTTGTTTGTTGGGGTTACTACTTTGTTGTGGTTGCGTGGTGTCATTTTTGTGGTTCCATGGTGCTCGTAGTGCGATTATTGTACTAATTTATTAAAGATTTGGCATAGCTTGATCTTAATGAGTAGTAATGTATTACTAAACTTTGCTATTTTATTAATTTAATATGTTATTTTGATTTAATATAGAATTGAAATGTTGAGTTATCAGGTTATTTTTAAGTATTTTAATGTTTTTATTTATATCAAGTAAACTCTTACGAATTTATGATTTGAGTTAATAGAACCTTTACAAGTTTATGTAAATTCTCGAGTTTGACAACATTAGTAGTAACTGTGTTGACTAGAAAATATGTGGACATAGGTTTTGAAATTGAGGGATCACAGTAGTATATTGAAGCGATGAAAACTTATTCTTTAGGTCATAATCCCTTTACCCAAAACACTAACCCTTAATTCCATAGTCAATATCTTATTTTGGCTAAGCATAAAGTTTACAGATCCCTAGAACCTAAGATTCAATATCCTATTACTAGACATGCCCAAACTTTGGGTCAACTACCTAGCCTACGTACAATTTTCCTATTGTTTCATATAATCAGTCCTAATAAGTAATTAATAATTATGTTAACCAAAGGATTGCATAAAACAGAGGCAAATGCACAAAAAGCACAAAATAATATTTGGAGGGAGTACTATAAGATGAAACTTTTGGGGAGAGTACTAATAGCCAGGGGACCCCCTATTGTTATTTAGAGTTAGTCAGAGGCTCGGTGCTAGTTAGTTTGGGAGAGAGGAATAATGGGGTATTAATAGGAGAGAAAGAAGAGAAGAGAAGAGAGTCTTCGGTTTTAGAGTTGAAATTGGGAGGGAGACTCCAAGTCTCTTTCATAGTTGGAGTGTAGAGAGGCAATTCATTTCTCTTATACATTTGTGATCTCTAGCTGTGTTACATCGATGCTGGTCAGAGGGCATTCTTCTGTCATAAAGATAGGTTGATTTCCCTAATTATGTACTACTATCTATCTATCACACTCGTGCTGTTTTAATCTATTTCTTTCTCTAAGAATTCTGATATGGTTTTCAATCTTATTGTTTCACAATTTTATGGGCTTTTAATGTGTTAGGATATAGAATAAAGGGAGTAGACTAGTTACTATTTAGAGAGATATTATGGTCCAGGCCCATCATATCTGTAAATAGGAGGATACTAAGTAGAGAGAAGGCATTCAGATTGGCAAATCGTTGTGGGAATAGAACAGTGGCTTTGTTGTAAAAGGGGAAACCCTTGGAGGAGAGATTTCTCTCCTATTTTATGTTGTTTTCATGCTATTCAATAAAATCTGTCTTTTATTTCTGTCCAAAGTCTTGGTTACTACCTAACATAATGTGTTATTATTGGAGCTTTATACTGTTGAGCATTCTCTCTAAGGATTGCTGAAGTTGTTAACTTATTAGATTATAAATGTAATATAAGCACTTGTTCTGATACCTGAATCAAAATGTCTCAGATATGCTATCATGTCAAAGACTTGTATGTACAATTTTTCTTCTGGAATTTTTTGAACCTTACAAATTACAAGCATTTGGTTTATTTAGTTTTATCCTAAATTTTCCAAATATCCTGCAAACACTCAAATTTTTAATTTTAATATTGGAATGGATATATAAATATATTAATATTCATCAGTTCTTCCAACTTTTATTAATTCTTAAATATGAGTATTTTGTAATATTTAGTTTTTATTACTCTGTCCTGCTCATATCCTGAGTTTTTAGAAATTTTGTTCTATATCTGACTATATATTATACTTTTATCTGTATTGATTTTTTATGGATAAGAAAAGCAAATTTTTTTGAGTATGTTTCACTTTACCTGATTGATTTTAATACATAGAGATTTCAGTTCTTATTAAGATCTTTGAATTTCTCTAAATGCCCATTATCATCAGTTCAAGTTAGTCTAATTACTTTTAATGGATTGTGCAGATCATGATTATATTTCAGATGTTCCCAGTAAACAGGTAGCCTGTTTTATTATTGTTATATAACAAATAATTGATATAGCTTCTAGCCTTTTCTGTCTGCCTTAAAATAAAGTGGTTGACTGTTACAGGTTAGCAAATGGAGAGAATGGCAGGCATTGCAAGACCTTAAATCCATTTTTTCGGAAGAGGCAAGCAAATTCCTATGAAGTTTTGGTTTTTATCCATATTTATCACTTTTTTTTTCATGCAAAAGTATTTCTAGGTGTTCTAATAATTTTTATATTTTAGGTTCTTGATGTTATTGCATCCAGCACAAATGATATGGGGCCTTTCAGTCTTGACAATTTCAAAAAAAATTTGTCTGCTTCATGGAGAGTTGTTGGATTAGAAACTGCAAACACTAGATTTGAGGTCTGAAAGAATGATGTGCTTCTGCGTGGAACTTTTCATTTAATTAAAAAAATAATAAAAGACATTTTTCTAAATTGTTTTATTTTTTTATTTTTGTTAAAGCTAAACCAACCTACAACACATGCTAGACAAGAAAAGCTAAAGGTGAAGGAAGGCAGACCTTCAGGTAGTATCATACTCTTTATCATTAATATGCCTTTACTGTTACATAATTTTCTTTCTAATTTTTTGCTTAATGCAGTTGGCCTTGCTCAGTGGACTGATACTCCGGCTCAGCAAACCCGAAGGGTGAGCATCATCTTTGATATTTTTCTTCTTTGAACTCACATGTAGTTTGTTTGGAACTTTGGGTACACCATAGTTTAGTATTAGTTTCTGTGGATATTTACTCTACCTGATTTTTATCCATGTTTTTTTGTTTAGCAAGGAAAATGTAATTTTGCTACCTGGAATGGCTTAAAAATTTGTCTAGCAATAAAAAAACTTTTGGCCTAAATGTGTTTTGATCCCTTAAGTATAACAATTGTGATTTTTTAGTCCCTTAAGTGTCGTAGTTGTACAATTTTGGTCTCTCAAATTTTAATTGAGCATTTTTACTTATTTAAGTTAAATATATATGTAATTTAATAAATATATATCATTTAATACATAAATGAGTATTATAATATATGTAATTTAAATAGGTCAAAAATTGTATAATTGTGATATTCGAAGAACTAAAATCTAAAATTTTTATATTTGAGAGACTAAAATTACTTAATTAAAAATTAAGAGACTAAAATCATACAAATGTAATACTAATCCAAAACCTAATTAAGCCATAACATTTCATTCAAATTGCATTGACACAAGTTGTAATTTTATTATTTGGTCCTCATATATATATATATATATATTATTTTGTTTTTGGTACATTTACTCTATAAACCAATTTACCCAGCACTTGTGCTACCCCAACTTTTGCATTGGAGAAAAAGTTGGAGTAGCATTTATTGGAGAGAAGATGGTAGAAACTTGCCTTAGATGGTTTGGGCATGTATGGAAATTGGAAAGGACCTTATGAAGCCATAGTAATAATGAGAGTAGATCTGGTGAAGGAGTTCAGTTTCCTGTGGCTAGAGACCAGGAAACTGAAAAAATACTACCAGTTAAACTGTTGAGAAGGATTTAGAGATCACTAGTTTGATTATATACATGATTTATGATGGAATCCAACCTAATGGGAAAAGGCTCAACAAGAGTGCATCTTACTGTTCCCAATCAGAATACATAAACATCAACATCCTGATCTTGTTTGGTAACTGGTAAGTAAGCAAGGAGGAACTGTAGGGTTTTCAAGAAACTGATGGAGCTCATAGCTGCAAATTTACTCCTTTGATCTGTTGCTTACAGGAGAGAAATTTTTGGTGTCATGTTTGAGGCTAATTTCTTGCACAAAGGTAGCTGGAGGGGGGGTTTCTGGATTCAGAGGTGAAGGAAGTCATGGCTGGATTATGAATTTAGTAGCTCAAGATACCTAACATGATAGAAACAAAGAAAAGGATTTCAGAGAGAAACTGGAAGTAGATGCAAAATATACTCTAGTTTTACCGATTACTAATATCTATCGAGGAATCTAACTGACTATTTATTCCGGGATTTTCCATCCCAACTGAGAAAATAAATTTACATGTATTTATAGTCTACTGACTGCCAGTTACAGAGGAAGTTTTGTATTGTAACTAGCTGAGCTGACTAACTGAATGATAACATAACGGAATATTAATAGTGGACTAGTATATATCTGATAAGGCTGGGCTTTTATTATTGTTTGTATTAGAAGTACACTCATTCTTAGTGAACTACTTGTGCCCAAACATCAGACTTTTTTCCTTTGCTCAAACTTGCATAAAAATAGTGTTTGAAAAATGTGTTTCCACTTTGATTGATTCTTTATTTTGACAAGAAAGATGAAAACTAACTTGTTTCATGCTCTTTATAATTATTTTCTGCAGCATTTAATAGAGAAAAGGCGGGAAAAACGTGCTGCCGAGTTGGTAAAAATGGATAATGAAGTAACTGTAAAGCTTGAAAATGCTGCCATTGAACGCTCAAAATCTGTTGAGTCAGCTGTTCTAGGTAAATACAGTATTTGGAGGAAAGAAATGGAGAATGAAAATGGTGATTCTACTGTTCGGTTAATGCGGGATCAGATCATTATGGCTAGGGTATATTTAAGCATTTCAAAGATGAAGAACAAGGTTGAACTGTATCAAGAACTAAATTCCCGGGTCAAAGAGAGTCAACGGGCTTTAGGTGATACAATTTCCGATGCAGATCTACATCACAGGTTTGAAGTCGTCTAATTTTATTTAAGGAGTACATTTTTCCGCATTTTAATCCCTTTGAAATTTCTGACCTAACTAGTTGAGTGTCTAATTATCTCTATAGTGCGCATGAGAAAATAAAGGCTATGGGTCAAGTTCTCTCAAAAGCAAGAGAGCTATTGTATGACTGCAAGTTGGTCACTGGAAAACTAAGAGCAATGCTACAAACAGCTGATGAGCAAGTTAGGAGTTTGAAGAAACAGAGCACATTCCTCAGTCAGTTGGCTGCTAAGACCATACCAAATGGAATTCATTGCTTATCTATGCGCCTTACCATAGATTACCACCTCCTTCCTCCTGAAAAGAGAAAGTTCCCTAGGAGTGAGAATTTGGAGAATCCCACTCTTTATCATTATGCACTGTTTTCGGACAATGTCTTGGCTGCGTCTGTTGTTGTCAACTCAACTATTACGAATGCAAAGGTTATTCAGACCATCTTTTTAACCATACCAGTATTTCTGTACATGTGTCTTTTATGCTGTATTTCCTTTTATAGATGGCAAAAATAATTGCGCCTTGATCACAGGACCGATATATCTTGCATGTGCAATATATCTATGATTTAGTAAATCATATTTATTAAACCCAGCCCTCATTGTCTTTATGTTATTGTCTTTAACGTTGCAGGATCCTTCCAAACATGTTTTTCACCTTGTTACTGATAAACTAAATTTTGGAGCCATGAACATGTGGTTTCTTTTGAACCCTCCTGGAAAAGCTACAATCCATGTTGAAAATGTTGATGATTTTAAGTGGTTGAATTCATCCTACTGCCCAGTCTTGCGGCAGCTTGAATCTTCTACTATGAAAGAGTATTATTTCAAGGCGGGCCATCCAACCACACTTTCTTCCAGCGCTTCCAATCTGAAGTATAGAAATCCAAAATATCTCTCGATGCTCAACCATCTGAGATTCTATCTTCCACAAGTCTATCCAAAATTGGATAAAATCCTATTTCTTGATGATGACATTGTTGTTCAGAAGGATTTGACTGGATTATGGAGTGTGGATCTTAATGGGAAAGTAAATGGTGCAGTTGAAACTTGTGGTGAGAGCTTTCACCGATTTGACAAGTACCTTAACTTTTCAAATCCGCATATTGCAAGAAGTTTTGATCCAAATGCTTGTGGTTGGGCATACGGGATGAACATATTTGATCTGAAGGAGTGGAAAAAGAAGGACATTACAGGCATTTATCACAAGTGGCAGAATATGGTAAGCAGTTGAACGAAGCTCTGGTATCCACTATCTATTCTCACACAAACGGATGGGTACGGAGATTTTTAACTGACTATTTTATTATTTTTTTTTGTCTGATTCTAGAATGAAGACAGGGTGCTGTGGAAGCTAGGGACATTACCTCCAGGGCTAATGACATTCTATGGTCTGACGCATCCGCTAGACAAATCATGGCATGTACTTGGTTTGGGTTATAATCCTAGTGTAGATCGATCAGAGATTGATAATGCAGCAGTTGTACACTACAATGGTAATATGAAGCCATGGTTAGAAATCGCAATGACGAAGTATCGGTCTTACTGGACCAAATATGTCAAGTACAGTCATCCCTATCTTCGGAACTGTAAGCTAAATGAATAGTGCTGATAATTTGGTCCCTAGTACAGAGAAGGATTCTCTCTATTTTCTCCAGCCTTCCCCCACTTTCTCTCACCTTCTGGCTTGGCTATTTCAACTACAGTCTCTTGCTAGAACGATAATCAATGTCTTGGGGCTTAGAAGGGATAGGGTCAGCCCTTGTTCTATATTTGACCCCAACATCGTCTCTTTCCCAAATCGATTTTTACTTTCAATTCATTTAATTTGTTACTACACCACTCACCCATTTGAAACAAGGTACAAAAGTAGTATACCTTGTTTACCATAAAAACTCCTCATTGTACAATACTCTATTGGCCCCAGACAAGACTAGAAATTAAATATCATATCTCTGTATTCTGAGAGGTAATTTGTTCGGTTTTGAGAGCTTTTGTTATTTGGTTGTATTGATGTTGTCTCTCAAAACATGGGAGTTAAGAATATTTGTCTGGTTATTTTCTAATCCTTTGCCTTTTACGTTACAACTTGCATTGTGCTAGTTTGGCAGTTATGTGATTTTTAGGAGTAAAATAGTTATTGTTACGTGTATATTTATTGTTAGATATAAATCTGTAACTTGTATAGATTGCTATAAAATTTTAAGTCAAACTTCTAAATATATAGTAAATCATGTACTAATGTTTTGGTATAAAATGATAAATGAGATTTAGAATACAAAAAATCCTTGACATCACTAGCATTATGCATTTAACTAGTAAAATGCTTGGTGATTTTTTTTTACAATGTTCATTATAATGTCTAATGCTTGAATGTTTTTAATTCCTACGTTTAGTTCTTATATACACACACACACATATATATATATATATATATTGATTTTGTTCTCTAAATTTTATTTTTTGGTTTTACATCATTTATTTTTTAATAGATAATTGGTGAATAATGATATGGGCTAAAATTATAAAATAATTTTATAGGGTTGAAAAAAGTTAAAAGAACTAAAGCTATAAATAAATTATGTTAGTCACTAGAAACATTTAAGGTTATATTTGGATTTAGAAAAGAAAAAATACAGCAAAATGTTGCAAATGGTAGCAAATATCATAAGATTTTAAACTTTTTATATCAAACTAAGTGCATATCTAATAGGATTTTGTTATTGTAATGGCTATAAATATTCTTTTTATGAATGTCAACATTCAATTTTGTCTCTTCTGATATGCATTTTATTTGGTCCTAATAATAATGATCGAGTAAATTTGAATTTAAGGTGAATAGACCCGAGCCTGATACAAAGGATACATAAAAAGTAAGTGGGCAAAGCAAAATGGAGTCATCCGTAGATAACAGAAAACCTATCAACATGTCCTTTACTTCCCCTCTTGCTTCATATCGTGCATGGTCCATGGGCTTTGGAATTATTTGCTCATCCATGTATTGATCACTTTATAATCATGTACCTTGAAAGATGCATAATTGTCAAATAGAACATCCATGTTCACAGCATTGCACAGGATTGTAATCAATCGTATGCATTAAATAGAATTAAAATAAGGAAGCAAAAATACAGAAAATAAAAATAAAAATAAAAAAATGTTTGAACCCTATGCTCTGCTTATTTATAGAGAATAAAAATGTTCCTATCCGTCGTCGCGGGTGGCGAGTGGCTAATTAATTGGCTATGTCTGCTTCGAGCAGTTTTCTATAATTTTGGCTCGATTGAGTTGAGCCCCTCTTTTTCTTTTGCTTGTCATATTTATTATTATTATTATTATTATTTAAGGAAGGCTAGTAACATTTTTTTTAATATGCTCTTTATTTATTTTAGTAAATTTCATGACATAAGGAATGAGATCAATCTGTGTCAAAAGAGAATTAGATCAATAAAGTTTTATTATTCTAAGAAATTTCAATCAATAAAAATATATTTGAAAGAG